TTCAACTACAGGGTATCTTCCCTGAAGCTACCACTGCATCACTCGACTGCATGTGTATTTTGTTTGGTTGTTTTTTGTTTTCTTTTGTGTGTTTTGATTATTTTTTTTCCGTCGGGGGAAGGGAGGAAACGCCCTGAGATGTTGCTTCTAGAGCCACTATTCTAAGAGTGCTCTGTAATTCTTTTTGTTTTTATTTTTTTCCCCTTCTATTTGCAAACTGTTTGCTACAAGCAACACAAACACGTGGAGACTTTTGTTATATATTTTTCAGTTAGCATCTTGTGTGAAATAAACTTAAGTATGAAATAATGTCAAGTTATTAACAAAATATTCGTAATAACGATGGTGAAAGCAGCAGTTGCCCTGTGTAGAGAAGAACACATTGGGTTATTTGGCATTATTAGCAGAGGCCAGTGTATGTTACTTATCCTGTACAGATTCTTTAGCAGACGAAGTCTGCTTTCTCAAATCATCTTAGCACTGTCTTTTTAAAGGAGTACTTTAAAGAAGCATTATGGAAAAGTTTGATTCCTGTTGTAGGAAAAAATCAGTGACTGTCTTTTTGTGCTTTTGATGAAGAGAACAGAATGGTGTTTTTCATTAAATAAGCATTTGCTTTTTTCCTGTAATGCCTGTCTTGGTTAAGATGTCTTGCTTTAAGTGTTCAGAAGCATACATAACTTTTATTCATGTAACTTCTGTTATCTTACATAACTGGATATGGTGTCTTATATTACCATATATCCTGGTAGCCCAGACTGCTGCAGTATTAGGTGTGTTTGAGCTGCCCATGAGAATACCTTTAGGAAAAATATCCCTTTAGTTGTCTTCAGCCTAAAGTTTTCTAATGAAAATTACAGTACTTTAGAATTAAATGGCACTTTTAATCTGGGCTCTGTAAGTAGCAAGCAAGGGTGATGCCCATGTAATCTGAATCCTTTGAAATGTTGAATTCTCTCCTTACTTAAAAGCCACCTTTTTCTAATGTCATGCTACATCCATCAAGCCCCTTATGTGTTGCCACTGTCTTGTCTGTTACTGTGGATCTTAATTACATTCTTAGACATTTAATTTAATCTCTGCAGCCTTTTAGCTCTTGACATTCTGGCTCCTGGAGCAGCTTTTGAGCTCTACAAAGATTTTGTACTTGCTGCCTTTCAAGGAAGGGAAGTACGTGCAACCCAAAGGGGATGGGATGTCAAAAATCCCTTTCCAGCTGGTCTTTGGGAGCTCCCTGTTAGTGTGCCTGTATCCTTTCAAAGACCGGAGCAGACTTGCCCACTCTCTTCTTCAGTGCCCTGTGCATTTAGGGTCAAGCACAGTCCTTGGAG